ACTGTTTATTGGTGATGACTCTTCGCACAGATTTCATATTTAGAACCCTGATGGAGACCATCTTCTGGCCAGCCTGAGTCAGGGATTTAACTATGTTCTTTTATCTACATATGACTATAAGGGGGGGGGGGAGGGATAGCTCTGTGGTTTGAGCATTGCCCTCCTAAACCCAGGATAGTAAGTTCAATCCTTGAGGGGGCCACTTAGGGATCAGGGTAGGGTGACCAGACATCCTGATTTCACCAATTTTGCTCTCCGCTCCGGCGCACAGGCAGAGCCCAGAGGGGCTCACGCCCCGACTCCGCCCCCTCTTTCCCCCATTGAATCCCTCCCCAAATCCCCACCCTGGCCCCCCCTTCCCCAAACACACTGCATTCCTCCTCCCTCCCAGGCTTGCGCTGATCAGCTGTATGGCGGCGCAAGCGCTGGAGGGAGGGGGTGACACCAGCATGCATGGCGCGGCCATGAAGAAGGTAGGGCCAGGGCGGGGATTTGGGGAGGACAAAATTGCTTGTTTGTTCAGCATCCCGAGCCGCGTGAAGGTGGGAGAGGCCATGGGGCACCCAGCCAGGCCGCCAGTGCCACGCCCAGACCCCGCACCTGAGGGGCAGAGCTGCTGCCCACCGGCCCTCTCCCCTGGGGCGGCTGGCAGCCCCTGTTCCTCTAGGGCTCCCGTGTCCCCTGGTCCCGTTGCCCAGCTGTTGCGCCTGCCGTGCCCTGCCCCGAACCCCCCAGGGCCGCAGCGCAGCGGGTCGGCGCTACAGGCCATTCTTGTGCGTGGGGACAGACTCGCCCCACGTGCAGGACAACTCGGTGGGGTCACAGCAGCTGCAGGTCTGAGCATGCCCCAACCGCTCACTTCCTAATCCCAGGGCGCTCTGTGCTGTCCACCGCCATCCCCTCCCCCCGCATCCTGATATTTCACCTTTGTCATCTGGTCACCCTAATCGGGGGCAAAAATCAGTACTTGATCCTGCTAGCGAAGGCAGGGGGCTGGACTCAATGACCTTTCAGGGTCCCTTCCAGCTCTATGAGATAGGTGTACATCTCTGTAAAGAAAAGTGGAAAAGAAACATTAGCAGCAAAGGAGCTCCCAGATGTAATAAGAGGAGTGGAACCAGAGAAAGACAGGTTTCAGAAGGGGCATATATTAGTGAGAGACCTGAGGCTCAGGGGTGTAACCAGAGGGGCTGCATCCAGAGAGAGGCAGAGCTGGAGTATGGAACACCAGTCTCATGGTATGTTTAATAAAGCCTGTCTCTTTCAGCTCTGCTGCATCAATTACTGCTAACAAAACACTAGGCTCTTCTGCCCCAGTTAAGATTTAGCTGAATTAATGGTGAATAGTTCTTGGGAGCGGCAATGCGTCTAATGGCTACAGCAAACGACTGCAAGTGTAGTTTGCACTGAGCTCTATTCCTAACTGCCACCACTTTCCTGGTTGATCCACGGCTAATTATTTAATATCTCTGGCCCAGATTTTCAAAGATATTTACTCACCTATTTGTGCCTTAGCTCTGTCATCTGTAAAATGGGGGAAAATACCACCACCCACCTTGTTCTTTCAGATCTCTGACAGAGGAGCATCATTTCAAGTGTAAAATACTATTGTCCCCTTAATATGTAAAACGCTAGTTAATTTTCCTGGAGCATGTGTGTACACTGAGGTTACTCCCCTTCATATGCAGTTACAGCTGTTTTCTAAATGCAACATTGTCTGTTCTCTGTCATGGTACAAGATTAATGAACTCTTTGTTTTAAAGACAGTTACACACCTCCAAAAACATGGGTTTATAATGGAAATACTCAGACAGTTAACTATAGCAGCACTAGCGGAAAGGGAAAAGAACTATAAATTCAGCTTGTTTTCCAGTATATCCATTGACAAGGTATGAATAATACATCTCTGTACACTTCCAACATACAGATGTATACATTACTCTTTCCTGTGAGGGTTACACTGAGCAATGTCTCTAAACCGACCATTCCAAAGGAGGGAAGGAAAGGGTTCACAGAGAAACGTCTCTTACGTTACATTACAATCAGGACATAAACAGTGGTTGAAATTTACTAGTGTATGCATTTGTGCTTAATTTTAAACACACACTTTTTTTTGCGGGGAGAGTTGAGGAAGAGGGCTTGTATTTCCATGATCAATAGAAGGCAAGAAGTTATCCTTTATTCTCTTCTTTTATAATATGAATTAGCTATTGGGATACAGTTCAAGCTTAAAAAAAGTAATTCAAGTTGCATTAAAAAAATAAATTTAAGCAGATACACACAATGAAATCAACTCACCAGCCACAGCAAACATATTGATCCTCTCGCATATCAGGCCTGGTCTCTAGCTACTAACCACCCCCACCCAGGCTTCTGAACACAGCTTTGTTAACCAATTACTGTAGTTGCTAAAGCATGTTAATGACAAGCAGGCTCCAATCCATTTGGCAAATGAAAGACAAGCAAGCTAATATATTATCAATTGAACTGTGACATTGGGATATTTCTCTAGGTAGTAAGAGCAACCCAATATGGGCTTACATAATAAGGTTATACACATGTTTTATGATTTTTACATGCACTGGCAAAAACACACAGCTGGCTTTTCAGACAAGCATTTTGAGACACAGGGTAATAGAAAACCTGTGTCATTTCAAAAGTTCAGGATTTGCTTAATAATGAGGTAGTGGGGAGAGGACCTAGAGAAGACTGGGTTGCTGCTAATTTTAAGCCTTCTCTGCTGCAGTAGGAGACCTAGCCATTGTAGATAATAGGAATCAACCACAAGTACAGCTGAACATGGTTTGTCCTGATCTACACACCCAATTAAGCCATGTTTTGCTCCAGTTCAGCCACAGGTGATTTTTTTTTTAAGTGTAGACAAAGCTTAAGAGTTAGATCCTGCTCTCCCTACTCAAGTAAGGTTCTCACTGGTTTCAGTTTTACTTGAGTAAGAATCATAGGATCAGGCTCCAAGTTTGTCTGAAGGGCATGTAGTGAAATTTAGTACTCCCAAGTGAAAACTTGTTCACATCCAAGCTATCTGTTTTTTCCAGGAAAAGAGCTTGTTTTAAATCACTGTGACACACAAAAGCCTTACAAGCATGAATAGCTTTTTCCTGGCACCTTAAAAAGGTACAATAATGAGGGTAAAGGGACTCAGCAAAGTAAGCATCAAATTGATGCTCTGGCTGCCTCTCTCTCTTATTTTGGTGTGTAGCCTACTGAGCATAGCAGAGCTTCAGGAATTGAAAGGATTTAGCCTTAAAACTGCATTTGATTGGGTAGATTGAATTGGCATACAGGGTGTTTGACAATGCACGAGCAGTGAAACACCCAAAACACTGTGACTCTGTAGACAAACATTACCCACGTATTTTATTATTAGTGTTGCTTACCTTGGCAATATTTCTTTAATGTATATGAGGTACTTAAGACTCAATCTTACCTACTTCCCACGCCAACCTTATGCTACTATGCTGTTTAATACAGAAAATAATTTAAGACATCAGAAATGTCAAGTCTATGATGTGTATAAAGGACTCTGAACATGAGAAATACCTCACAAATTCTAAGCATTGGCTTGGCTTCTTTTCAGGTCATGGATTACTTTACACACAGGGAATTAATTTAATCCCACATCATTTTCCATTGCCACCTCTGCCATTTGTCCCTCATTTTAGGTCTGTCAGAGTTTTGCTGGGGCAGAGGGGGGAGGCTGGTGTGGGTTCTTTTATTCATGTTGCATTAATTCAAAGTTCATGAGTGGTGACAGTCCTGAAGCTTTGTGCCTTTTGCTTTCTCACAAGACATCTTTGGTAACGGTTTCAAGTATACAAGTCCACCCACACGTGCCTCAATGATCTAGAGGCACCAATTCTTGGAGCAGGAAAGTAATTCACTGTCAAGGCCCCTCCAGTATTTGGCACCTCTCTGGAAATTAAGCATGAAGCTGCTTTATCACAGAGTTTTAAAGGGTGATATTTTGATCTTGGTAGAACTAAGGACTATCTATCTGTATATTCTTTACCAATAATCAGGGCCGGCCTATCTTCTCTGCAGCAACATTAATGATTCCATGCTATTTTTTCACCGGAGTAGGGATTTGCCCCAGTAACCCTAGCCAAATTTTCCCTTTAAACGCCACTGTTTTGCATAGTTGTGTGTGCCCACTGATTGCTGTCCTTCACCCCAGAGGTGGCTGCACTACAGTGGTGCTGCACATATGCCTTGTGTAAAGCAATTTGTGATCCTTCAGCATGAACGGATAAATATGATCAAAACATGAAAGACATCTTAGATACCAACTAGTCAGTGGACTAAGGCCAACATTTTCAGGAACATTCATTAACTGTTCATGCCTCAGCCACTGAGCACCCAACACCATCCCTTGTCTTCTCTCCATTGACTGCCTCTGCTGCTACTGCTGAGCTTTCCCAAGCAGCATCAGCATAAAACTGACATTTCTGGGGAGTTTCGCTGCCGCCCACATGATTCTGAACTGCAGCAGTATTGAACAGCCCCGACAATTTATCTTGGCTACTGCACAAACTTATCAGAGACTGCAACAGCACTGGAACCATCAATAGACACAGGCAGACGCTACTGCATCACTTTACTCCAAGTTCATTTGGATGTTTCTAGTTCTTATGGTTGGGGCAATAAAGGTTTAAAAAAACCCACCCACCCACCCACCCACAAAAGCTTAAATTTAGCAAGAGTTCATGGGATCGATCCCTGACACACCACAGCAAGCTTTGCCATCACAATAGGGAGTGGATTTTCCCCCTCAAACTCTTATTTCTGTTAACCGCCACAAGGCAGGGGACCCCCCCAGTCCACAAGTGTCCTACCTGCTACATCTGCAAACATTTTCCCACCCCAACAAAATAAGATGATTGCCCAAACTGAATGAAATGCCACAGGCTCTTAGCTAGAAAACACAATACAAAAGCCACCAAAGTGAGCTCTAACCCCAGCAAAGTCTAGCACCTCCTTACCTTTACATCTCTCCCATGTGGCTCTCATCACTTCCTGTTTGGCTTGTTATCAAGCAACTGCATCGTGACAACCCGAAGGGAGTGGTGGAGAATGTAGTTCGGTTTCCCTCCAAAGGGACAGGTGCTTGGAAATCTGACCTCAGCGGAGGAAAAAGGGGAAGCAGCAATAAAACTACCTTTCCCAGAACCCATGCGGCAGACCACATTCCTCCCCTTTTCTCTGTTCCCTGCACAATGGATTGTGGGAATTGTAGTTTCCGCTCTATAGACAGTGTTCGTCCGCGACAGTAAAAGGGCCGGGGGCGTGACATCCCAGGATTGATTCCAATGCACTTGTTGGAAAGCGGGGTTTCATGTTTTGCTTTGTGGAAGAAATCAAAACATGTTACAACGTGTTGAATTGGAATTGAATCCCCCACCCCAATGTATAAAATCTACAAGACTGCAAAATAATTCCCCCCCCTTAAATTCATTGCAGGAAAATGTTAATATCTTTGTGGTTTTTTTAAAAAAAATGCAAACAGGTATTGCAAAAAATTAAATAAAGAGGACTGGATTTTAATGTTCCCATGCGATAATGTGTTGAAGGGTGTCTTCTTAATTATGCCATCAGGTTCTAGTCCTAGAAACACACACAGGTCTAACTTTATCCCTCCTAAAAATCAATGGGTCTACTGCTCAGCTGTTTAAAATTAGCATGTGCAATAGTGCCAGCCCTGTGCATACAAAAATCATGAGTGAGGACACCCTCCCCCCCCCCAAATCACAAGATTAGCTTTAAAATCATGATAAAAAATGCTGGATTGTTATTATTTGCCTTCTGGCTTTTGTGCCTTTAAGGATCACACGTTGAAGCTACTTGTCTGCAATCAGGGGGTCTAAAAACTTCCTTTCTTTGAAAAATAGAAGCTGAGAGTCTTATGTGATCACATGACTCAGAAGCTCAGATATCAACAAAAATACCAAATATCATGAGACTCATGATAAAATTGCAAGAACTAATAGTAATGCTGCATGGAAGAGGCTGCACTGTTGGGGACTAAATTCTTGCTTTTTTAAACACAGGGGGATAGATTATGCAGAGCAGATCATTCTGTTCTCTTCAGACTTCAAGCATTGCTTCCTAGCATTATGCACAATTTAGGGCTAAACTCTTCACACAATAATTAGTAATTACAGGCAGGTAATTTTAATGGTACAACTTGGGTGATTAATCTAAAATTTACCTTCTGTTCACAGTATACTGAAAGCTCTAAAGTTTTGCCCAGGTTTGGCTGCTTGCATACCCACCAAAAATGTGAACAATGAAATGAATGGTTTCAGAGTAGCAGCCGTGTTAGTCTGTTGCTTATGCTCTAATAAATTTGTTAGTCTCTAAGGTGCCACAAGTACTCCTGTTCTTCTTTTTAATGAAATGAATGTACAACCAGTCAGACAAATGCCTTCTAGACCAGTAGACATTGAAGATTATGATGTATGTCACTTGGAAGGTAAATTTCACTACATTTGCTAGAAAGTCTCAGTTTTGACCTAGGGCTTTTCTGCTAAAACATATTAACAATCTGTGTACAGATAATAAAACTCAAGAGTATGTTCTTTTGGAAAATTACTAGAATTTTAATTATTTACAAAGATTGCTTCAATCAGCACAAGACACAGTTATCTCTAAAATATAATTTACACTAAAAATACCATTTTTTCCCCTTTGCACCTGGAGTTCCATGATTGTTGGACTGGAGAGCCCAGTAAGATCTTGCTGAAAGCACGGGAGAAGTTGTTTTTAAATATAAATGTTTTATTTTGTTTTTTGTTGCTATAGTTCGGTAGTATTTGATGACTGACAGAGCAATGTCTTATATAAAAAACGTAAGAAGGGTTTTTTGTGAACATGATGGATTATCACTTAGGCTCAGATCCACAAAGGTATTTAGGGTCCTAACTTCCACTTACTTCAAGTTAGAAGCCTAAATAAATTTGTGGATCTGGGCCTGACTCTTTTATGTATTACATTACGCCCTCATCCTACAAAGACTTACACACATGCTTAACTTTTATGCCCTTTAAGCAGTCCTATTGAAGTCAGTGGGGCTACTCACAGTGCAACATGGGGATCTTATTCTCATGATCTCTTCTTCTTGCTGTTTCCCCAAATAAAATAGTCTCAGTTATCCCCCCACAGCCAGGGACAAACCTGCAGAAACAGGCTCTGGGGGAGGAAATCTGTGTGTGGCTCCCGTAGCAGAACTCTTCCCCTATTGTTCCACTGCTGTAGGGGTCTATAGGAGGTGAAAGCCATCCACATGGAGACCCTGTCACTACACACTGGTTCTTACCCATGGTGCTCTCCTCCCAGCCCCCTGACAACGTGGTTGACTCCAGGGTACCTTGGACCATCTTTACATCATTTCCTCTTGCGCAGACACTGTAACACCCAAATGCCCTCTGTGAGGACTGGAGGGGGGAGAAAATGGTGCTGAGAAGGCAGTTGACCCCTACCTTGCACACAGAAAGGAGAAGGGAGATCCATAGTAGAGGCTTTGGAGGGGAAACAACTTAGTGCTAAGTATGCCAGAGCTAAAACCACATCATGCCTTTCACATGGGTGCCTTCTCGTCTCTCACACACAATATAGTATGGGTCCCTACAGCAAGGAGTCGGGCTGATTAAATGTGATATTCAACTGTGTAATTCACTTCCCATTTCTGAAGGGGAAAGGCTCACTCAGATGGCTCCTTTAAAATCCTGGAGAGCAGAAAAAAAAAATCCTGGAAGATAAAGGCAAAACAATGACCTTACAGAGTGCTCCACTCCCTGCTGGAGAGTATCCGTGTGAGTGCTCAGATTTTCTTAAACATGCTGAAGTCCCAAAAGACACCACTGACTAATTCTGCTAGCCTTCCTCACTTTTAATAGTACCCTACTCTCCCAACCAGCCCTATGGATTTCAAGGAGATCACTGAGCCAAGGTTCTACTTACCAGGAATGAGGGGAGCATAAACAGACCTATAATTAGTAGAGCACCTTGGAACGTAGATATATAAACATTTGATCCTTTTTCACCAAGTACAGAGGGGCTTGTGGGAGGACAGCTCCTCCTCCTCTGCCTAAAGGGATAATTCCCTTGGGAAAGCTCAGGTCCTTTTCCTGGCTCTTACTGAGAGGTAGAATGAAGACTCAGTCAGTAGGCAGGAGACTCAGAAGTGGAAATAACAGGAGGAGGCTTCAAACCTTTCCTAGCCGCAGGTGGAGGAGCACTGGCACTTGATGGGGAGTCTCCTATCTGCATCTACTTCTGCTCTTCCATAGGAAGATGGTTCCCTTCCCTTCTAGGAAGGCAGAGGGGCAAAGAGGTGCACTGGAGTCCATTTCATCTCGCTCTCTTCAGGATAAAAGGGAAAACCTACTACAGGCTTTGTTTCCTTTAGCTGAATCCAGGGGAAACAGCATGTGCCCTCCCCATAATGGTGGGTGTGGATGGGAACAGGGTGGGGAGGATGCATGTGAGCTCAAGGGTTGACCCTCTCTACACAGCTCTATACTCTGTGCCTGCAGAGACACAAACACACCCTCCCTTTATTTGGCTGGGTATGGGTCTGCTTGCGGACATTTCCCTTGACCCCATTTCCACCATGACCTGACCCTTCACACAAGATGAGGCAATGTCACCACCCATGATGACATACTGCCACCAGAATTGGTGAGCTTACCCTCACCTTATTTAGATCTGCTTTAACCATTGGTGCTGAGCCACCATCCTCACAAACACGTGTGCTTTCATATCAGCTGGGCAAGTTAGTGCTGCTGAGCCTTGGGTGACCAGATTTCCAAAACAAAAAACCAGGACAACCACAGGGCAGTGAGGAGGGAGCAAGGTAGGGTGAAGCAATCTTTCTCTAAGTGTCTTGGACATAGTAAAAGTTGATGGAGAAAAAAACAAACAAACAAATAACCCCCAAGCCCTCAACCCTCCCCACAGCTATTACCCTGGCTCCTTCACTCTAGTACTGATTCAAACTATCCCAAGCCTTGCTGCAATGGCTCCTCTGCTAGTCTGCTCCACATAGGTTCTGAAACCACCCTCATCACCATAGCATGTGAGAGCCTTCCAATAGCCATGAAGTGACTAATATCTTTCACCTGTGGTTTGTTCCCTCTCTAAGCCTCTCCCTGGGGGAGAATCACATGTGCAAGCACAGGTGGCTGCTGTGCCTCCCCAAATAGCCTGGTGTGGTCCTGCCCATGATCTGCCCCTCAGACTCCTTTCTGCAGTTCCCGGCACTCTGCCCTGGCCTGGGCTAGCTGGGGCTGGCCGGCCTGCCTGCTGCGGGGACTTGGGGTGACTGGCGCTGGGGCTATGCTGCCTGGTGTGTGGGAGCTGGGGGCACTGCAGCCGTGCTGGGAGCTGTGTTGGGGGTGCTCTGGGCTCCTGCAGAGGAGGGGGGGTGGAGCCTTGGGCACAGGGGGAGGGGCCGGGGCTAGCCTCTCCCAAAAGCCAGGTCACCCGCTGCCCATGTGTGCAAGCTAGTGTTTTGTCTTGATTTGGGGTTGGGGTTTTTCTTAATGTGTTTGTGTTACAGTAGGCCAGGCTGAACTTGCTCTTGGAGCAGATGTTGGTGTGGTTTTTGATGGCCTTTAATTTCAGGCAGTGTTTGTTCCACGGTCTTCATCTGCCCTCCCTCCCAAGGAAGTTCTGTCTCCTTCACAGAGGAGCTTTGTCCTGGGCGTAGAGAGTTGCATTGTGCCTGCTGAGCAGAGTTGTTAGCCACAGCCCCCATCCTAGAGGTTAAGGCAATCTTTCAAATGTGCTGTGCCCAGGCGATAGAGTGCCTTAAAGATATGGACTGAGTCCATGAACTTGACTCCATATTCTATAGAAGGCCAGTGTAGACAGCTCTGATGTGCTCATGGTAGCCCACTACCCTCCTTATGCTTGACCCTCCCTACGTAGGTTTGAGGTTGAAACTCAACCTTATCTGTTGAAGACTTTAACTATCACAGCCCTTAGTCTGGTATAATATTACACAGCAGACTTCAGCAGTCCTTGAGTGTATAGCTAGGAAGGAGGGTTTCTTTAACCTTACAGGTGGGATTTTCAGGAATGTTTAAGTGGCATGACTTTCAATAGGGATTATGTTCCTAAATCACATGAATG